TTGAGTCCTGACTTTCTCTTGATTACACAGCTTCCCTGGCTACCCTTTCAAATAACGGTTGTATTTTCATACGCTGTGCCAGCTTCCCTCCTATTTCCCCCGTATGCATTGATTGTCTCCTTGTTCCTCATTGCTACCTTCAGGCTTATCCAACTCTGCAGTTTCCCTCAATAACTTTTCGTCATGTGAGATTTATTCAATCCATATTAATCACCCAGTCAACATTCTGAAAGCTTTTTTCTATAGACTGCTAGGATACTCTGTGTCCAAAAGAAGTTACTGGCATACAGTCTTCATCTCCTCCCCAACTCTTGTTCTCATTCTAGAAAACTTCAGCATATATACTGATACTCCCTCAAATACTCTAAGCTCCCAATTCCTCAATTTAATAATTTCCCGTGGCCTGCTCTTCCACCCCACTACAGCTGTACACACACAAAGATGGTTATACACTTGATCTAGCTGTCACCCACAAGTGTTCCACATCCATGTTCATGAACTTTAAAATTCTTTTATCTGATCATAATCTGTTGTGTACTTCGCCTTTCCCTCTGACATGCAACTCAGAGTTTGCTGTGTTCTTCATTTTCACTGTGATCTTCAGCCCTTCAGCCCTTTCCTTATATTTCCCCAGAAAGTTGAGGCTATTCACCAACAGCTGCCTTTTCTCCCCTTTTCCTACCTCATATCTCTCAGATGCCTTTTGCAACTCCTTTTTCACATGAAAAGCTTTCCTTGCTCTTTGCTAAGGCAAACCCCACCACTTGCCATGTGATCCCATTCCATCCTGTCTTCTTCAGCAGATTATCTCCTCTGTCATCCCTACTCTCTCAGTAATCGTCAGTTGTTCTCTTTCTTCTCTGCTGCCTACAAATATATCCATATCTTGTCCATCCTCACATGATCCTCAGTTGATCCATCCATTCCCACTAGCTATAGTCCCATTTCTCTCCTGCCTTTTGTGTCTGAACTCCTTGAGAAGACCACCTAACAGATGCTTCCACTTCCTTTTCTCTCACTTTTCTCTCTCCCTGCAGTCTGGTTTCTGACCTCATCATTTAACTGAAACTATTCTCTGCAAAGTTACTAATGATCTCTTAATTATCTAATCTAATGGCCTTTAGCTAAGAAGTCATCTTTCTTGAATTCTCTTGCAGCCTTTGACAATCACCTATTTCTCTTATTGATCTCATCAGTTCGTATGGTTTCAGTTATAATTTCTTTGCAGATTACTCTTGTCTTCTTGTCCAGATCAAGGCTCTTTTCTGACCTCCAGTTCCAAATCTCCAGCTACTTATTAAACATTTTGAACTGAATACTTACATAGATTCTTAAATTCAAAGTGTCCAAAACTGAAATAATTTTTTTCCCCAATTCCTTCTCCTTAACTTCCCTGTTACTGTCAGTGGTACAACCATCCTCCCAGTCACTCAGGCTTACAAACTAGGTGTTATCCTTAACTGTTCATTTTCTTGCTTCCCCATATCCAATCAATTGTCACGTCCTGTCATTTCTATCTTCATAACATCTAATGTATACATACCCTTCTCTTCTCTGAATCTGCCACCATTCTGGTTTAGGCCCTCATCACCTCATGCCTGGAGTATTGTATTAGGGTGCTTCTCTGTATTTTTGCCTTGTGTTCATCCTCTAATAAACTATCAATGTTTCCTTACCATGTTCCTCACCTCCCCTGTTCCATCACTCCCTATACACATTCAGTAAAGGCGTCTATTACCTCCTGGATCAAATTTAAAGTACTCTGTTTTAAATGTAAAGCCCTTCCTTCAGAACCTGGCATACTCATACCTTTCTATTATTCTTAATATCCTACTCCTCTTCACATACTCTACCATACATTGATACTGACCTCCTTGCTTTTCATTGCATAATACACTACATCTCCCAAATACAAGTATTTTCACTTACTATTTCCCATTCCTGGAATTCTCTTATTCCTTATCTCTGTCTCCCAGCTTCCATGGCTTCCTTCAAGCCTCAGCTAAGGTTTGCCATTCTGCATGAAGTCTTAAGGAAGATTCCTTAGTCTTACTGCTTTCTCTCTGAAATTACCCTAAATATATCCTGTATATATCTTGTTTGGACATAGTTGTTTATGTATTGTAAGTGTGAGCACTTTAAGAGAGCGTTGTTTTTTTCTTTCTTTGCATCCCCAGCATCTCAGTTCCTGGCACATAGTAGCTGCTTAATAAATGTTAGTTCACTGACTGAATATATCAAATTAAAGAATCAACTAGGGAGGAGTTAAAGGGTTGCCTTGTAATAGTAACCACCCAGTTGACATTATATAACATAATTTCATAGTCGATGTAGTCAATACCATCCTGTCACTCTTAACAGCTCTGTTTTAGAGCATGTGAGTAGGAATAGAGAAGGCAGATGGTGGGAGCAATCCATTGGTGAAGTTCTGTATGTTATGATCAAAGATAGGACAAGTGGCAAGGGATTTGAGAGTAAAAGTTTACTGATTTAGATACTAATTTAGAGGTAGATTGGACCTTTGAAGTCCATCAGCTGAATAGCATTCATTTTACAGATGAGGAACCTGGGACACAACAGGATTAAGTGACTTGATCAGCTTGAGGATGGTATAGAGTTGAATTAGTCACTGAGAGGCCAAAATAGCGAAGGCAAGAGAGTATAGCCAGCGCTAGTCTAAGAGAGTACTTAGGAGTATAGGGATTATTGGTCATGTTGAGAACATAGAAGTGGTTTTGGGAGGGGTATGGCATAGGGAAAGATGTAATGATAGGAGATGATGATTGGTTAATGGAATTTTCATATTCTTGGTTATGGAAGTAGAATACTTGTAGGTGGATGGAAGATCGAGGTTGTGACTGTCTTTGTATATAGTTTACGTAGAATAGAGGAGAAATTCATGGTAGTTCAATTATTCAGTCAGTTAGCATTTATTAAGCTCATACTAGGCACTGTGTTTAGCTCACATTCCAGACACTGTCCTAAGATCTAGATATATGAAAAAAAAGCGAGGGGAAAAAAAAGTCCTTCCCCTAAAGAAGTTTATATTCTGATGAGGGAGGCAACAATAACTAACAGTAACTCTCTCATCAACATAAATTAAATACTGGGTTGATGGAAAATAACCTTTTTGGGTGGATACTAGCAGCTAGAGGATCTGTAAGGGTCTCCTGGAGGAGCTGGCATTTGAGCTGTCTTAAAAGAGGGATTCTAATTTGGAGGTTGGGAGGAAGAGGAATCTAGGTACAGGGAACAGTCAGTGCAAATGGAAATGGGAGTTGGAATATCATCAATAGACTGAGGAACTGGGACGTTAATGTGTTTGAGAAGACTTCAACCTATATGTCATTTACCTTCTCTATACCTCTCCTCCTCTGTAAACTGAGAATGTTTTACTACATGATTTTGAAATTCCCTTCAAGGTCTAAATCCTCTAATCCTATCCCTTTATTGTAAGTGAACTAGAAAGAGTTTTTATAAGAAGTATTTTTTTTCACACAATAACAGTTTTAAATAGATGACTGTTCATCCAGGCCATCTTGTCTTCTGCCTTTCCACTGTCCACATCCTCCCTATTTAGAGCAAACTGTTAGGACTGGACTTCTAGAAACCACACTCCTGGTCCTGGAAGGGAGTTAATTTAATCCCACCCCTTGAGCTGAGCTGTTCTGATTGGTGAGGGTGTGAATGTAGACTCACTCATTATACGCTAGGTAGCACCTCAGACTAGATCATTTTTCTCATGCTATCCATGCACTCTATCTGGAGTCATTTACTATTTGCCCTTTTGCTGCATAGTCACTTCTCCTCTTGCCCCCACCTTTTATTACAAACAAATTATTTATTTATTTAATACTTTAATGACCTTTTACTATGATATATTATAATCATGACATAAAAAATAATATAATAAATCATAAAAATAATAAAAGTAAACAAATAAACAAATGATCCTTTTATTAAGGGGATTTGTTCTGTGAAGTTTGGATTTAGTCAATGGGCCTCTCTTAAGAACCTAGAGGGCCACATGTGGCCTTGAGACCACAGATTCCTCACCCCTGTGTTAGATTATGAAGATAGGAGGGTCTGCATATCTGCAAAAGACCTTAACTACACAAAGCATTATCCCATCCTGGCACAGACTGGCTGGTGCCTCTCTTGCCTCCCAAGGACACACAGGGACTCCAGCTTGGGGTGCAACAATAAATTATGTCAGATCAGGGGGAGTTTTGTCCTTGATACATTCAGGGTCTCCTGCATGCTCTGGGTCCAGTGTTTCTGGAAAATATGGCAACTCAAAAAAGACAAGTTTAGGGGACCCCTTAGGAGCCCTTAAGACTAGACACCATTTCCATGACTCCCAGGACCAAAACTCCTTTCTCTGGCCCCTACTCTCCCAAATGTGTTGTTTTCCCTTAGGACAAGGTAGACTCCCTGAGGACAGAGATGTCTCATTTTTTTTTTTTTTTTTTTTGTAGTCCACAGTACTTACTAAGGACTCACTAATGTGAACTATAATTATGTTACTATATTGACTCTTTATTTTTCATTATATCCAAATTAAATTATTTAGGCATATTGCCATGTGACCTTTCCTGAAGTCATACTATAATGTTTTCTTGTGATGTTAAGGTAATACTGAAGCTTATACCCAGGAAGCGTATGCTGTGGCAGGTCTTACCAGATACTGGAAGGGAACATCCATCTAAGCTCTTTTAAAGAAGTAGTAGTGCTGCCATGAAAAACTTCTTCCTTGATACCTGTAGAAGACTCATATTGAGCAAGTACAAATTTAGGCTTGATTTGAGGAGGCAGAAAACCCAGAGCAACTTAGCTGATGGCTTTCTTCATTCTTTATGGGCAAAGCCAAATATTTCTCCCCTACTTTTGTGTTTCTGTAGTGCAGTCTGGCAACTACTGAAATAGCCCCATGTTGCTGTTTAAGTTACTTTACTATCAAAATATTTATAAATCTTTTGTTCTTTCCTTTTATTCTTTAGGCAAGAGGAGCAGATGTCCCAGATATTCCTGGAGAATCTCTTAAGACATGTGGCAGTACAGCAAGTATGAAAGTTAAACAAATGAAAAAGTAAGCAGTATTTTTCTAAGGTTTTAGGTCACTCTTACAAATTAATTCTTTTTACTGCTAAAATGTTTCATTTGATTTCTTTGCTCTGTAGATGTAACTGTCTGTACTTATAACCATTTTTACAGGAATTATTATGGTATTGCTGAGGGAGAGTTGGTCTGTAGATTCAGATTGTTGAATCAAGACATTCTGATACTTGAATTTACAAACACTTCTCCTAATTTTATTTTTAAAACATCATGTAGCATTGGTTCTCCATCTGAAAAAGGAAGGTTTATATTCTAGTGACCTCTTTTATTCATTGGTTGATGCTGTTAGAAAAATTAGCTCTACATTCTGGGATTGAATGATTAAATTATTTTGTCTTGGAGAAGTAAGAAATCTCTGTCAACTATCTGTGTATAATATTTATAGTTGGTTGTATAGGCTTTAAGCAGAATAGTCTGTGGGGGCAAGCCTTTTGCTTGGGTTATAGCATGTGTTGGTGTCAGTAGTTAGGTCTCAGCTTCAGGAATTGAAAAGCCAAAGGATAAAATGTTCATTCTGCACTCTTAGATCCACCAATCCTGGACTTATGGGCTGTGACAACATTCACAGGTAAAACTGTGATTTTATATGTTTGGCCTTATTATTGCTGCCAGTTAGAAACTGGCTGTTAACAAATGAGTAGTTTTCTTAAAATATGCTTTCCTTTGAGCATTGGCTTTGTATCTTGGTTAAGAGCTTATGGGAATGCTGTTTTTTGTTTTGTTTTGTCCATTGTGCTGAAATTGACTATTTTTTGTTTCAGTGACTCGTGTGTGTGTGTGTGTGTGCGCGTGCGTGCATGCGCTTGTATTTGCATGTACAAGCTCTCAAATACTTTATAATTTTCTTATTAGACTTACTGGTTTGTGGTTATTCAGAAATTTACTTGTTACTCATTTCTTCTTATGTGTTTTTTAGGTTGCCCTTTACTAAAGGTCACTTTCCGAAGATGGCAGAATGTGCACATTTCCATTATGAGAATGTGGAGTTTGGCAGTGTACAGGTGAGTTTGAAATGTGCCTTTCACAGTGTGGCTTAACTTGGAAGCTCTGTTTTTTCCATTGGTTTATTTTTTGGATATGAAAAAAGGTTGTTATTCTTTCCAATTGTACTTACACTGGGAATCCTTAGACATAAAGTATTAAGTTTAATATAATGATTACAAATATAAAGATTCTTAATATTGGTAATTGATGACTTTGATGGAGAATTGAAAGATCTTAAAGGAAATGTGTATAACTGTGTGGAGCTGCCGGTGTGGAAATTCTGGCTGAAGCTACAAAGAAAATGATATGCCACTGGCATTCAAGACTCGTGATTTCCAGTCAATACCTCCTTCAGTTGACCCAGGAGTGGAGGCATGGTAGCATCTTGTAGTTGTTAGCTTTTGATTTGCTTCCCCTTTTTGAGAGAAAGGTCTGTGGGAACTGGGTAGGTGAAGGGCTTGCCAGAAGCCCTTCATCATGCTTATTTCTTCTGGCCCATGGATATTTGAATAAATGGTGAATTGCCTTTTGCTTATCCCTACTTCTTCCTGGGAACCATTTCAGAACCAGTATTTCAGATGTCAAAGGGTCAGGGGTAGATGAGTGTACTCAGAAGGCATGATTGATTATATTGGTACCCACGTAATGGAACATTGAAGGTACATGCTATATATAATTTCCCCTGTATTGTCACAAGCAATATTCATAGCTGTTGTAGTTGCTGGAAATTACTCCTTGTTTATATCCATGTTTTGTATTATTGGACTCAATTCTCAGTTGTCTGTTGAAGCAGGCAAAACCTATAGAAGTATCTGTTTAGAATTCTTGAAAGGAACTGTTTTTATTTTCAGCAGTTTTCAGGGAAGCATTTTAATTAAAGTTTGACTGTTTTGTAGGCTATTTTTATGGCAATGACTTTTTTGGGGTAAAATTTAATGTTTATTTTATATCTTAACCTATTTGTGCTCCTGTGAACAAAAGATAGTCCATTTGGGGGCAATCCAGTGGACCAACTGGTACTAATATTCTGTCACAAATAGTGGCACCAAAGGTTGTTTTGTGGTAAAGCATTATAGTTTCCTCTGGCAACTTTTACTAAATTTGTAAATTTAAGTATCCAGGAATTGATCTAAACACTTCTTAGATCTGTTTTTATTGTCAGAAAGTATAGATATGTTTAAACTAATTTTGTTTTGTTAAGAGAATTATTCTTTGTAAAAATTTAGAAAAAGTAGTAGGTATTTGAGGCCACAAGAACCTTCTGTGATTTCAGTGATTTTTGCATTGAATTATTGAAAGCATGGATTTGATTTTATTGCTATTTGTTAAATATTCCTACCATATATTTCAGTGTATCTGTAATGAGTGTTTTTTCTTCCTTTTCTCTTTTAAGATGTGTTGAATTTATTGTGTGTATATTCTAAGTGTCTTTCTTTTGAACTTTGTCATTCCTTATTTGTGAATTGATATATATTGGCAAAAATAACCTATCTTTTGCTTTTAAGCATTGTTCTTTCATCTGTATTGATACCAATAGTCTCAGTCTAATCTTTCTCTACATGTACTAAGCATAGGCTGTTATCAGAGTAAGGTAGAGAAACCAGGAAAACCCAAAACAGAGAAATAAAATTGTAGATGAATTTCCCTAATGAATATTGATGCAGAAATTTTAAATAACATACTAGCAAGGAGATTATAGCAATATATCACAAGAATTATGCACTATGACCAGGTGAGATTTATACCAGCAATGCAGGGCTAGTTCAGTATGAGGAAAGCTATCAATATAATTGACCACATCAGTAACAAAACTAACAGAAATTATATGATTATCTCAGTAGATGCAGAAAAAGAAAAGCCTTTGACAAAATACAGCACCCATTCCTATTGAAAACACTTGAGAGCATTGGAATAAATGGAGGTTACCTTAAAATGATAAACAATATATATCTAACACCATCAACAAGCATTATCTGTAATGGGGATAAACTAGAAGCCTATTCAATACAATCAGGGGTGAAGCAAAGATGTCCATTATCACATCTGTTATTTAATATTGTACTAGAAATGTTAGCTATATCAATAAGAAATTAAAGGAATTAGAATAGGCAGTGAGGAAATAAAACTGTCACTCTTTGCAGATAATATGATATTGTGCTTAGAAAATCTTAGGAAATTAACTAAAAGATTGGTTGAAATTATTAACAACTTTAGCAAAGTTGCAGGATACAAAATGAACCCACACAAATCATCAGTATTTCTATATATTACCAACAAAGTCCAGCAACAGAAGATAGAGAAATTCCATTTAAAATAACTGTAGACAATATAAAATACTTGGGAGTCTACCTGCCAAGACAAATCTAGGAATTATATGAACATAACTATGAAATGCTTTTCACACAAATAAAGTCAGATTAATTGCTCATGGGTAGGCCAAGAGAATGTAATTATAATAATAATTCTACGTGAATTAATCTATTTATTCAGTGCCACACCAATCAAACTATCAAAAATTATTTTATAGAGCTAGAAGAAATAAGAACAGAATTCATCTGGAAGAACAAAAGCTCAAGGATATCAAAGGGATCAATGAAAAAAAAAATGTGAAAGAAGGTGGTCTAGCCATACCAGATCTAAAACTGTATTATAAAGTAGTAATTATCAAAATAAATTGATACTTGCTGAGAAATAGAATGGTGAATCAGTGGAATAGATTAGATATAATTATATTATAGTAAATAACCATAGTAATCTAGCATATTATAAATCCAAAGATCCAAGCTTTTGAAATAAAAACTCATTACTTGACAAAAACTGCTGGGAATGCTGAAAAATAGTATGTCAGAAACAAGGTATAGACCAACAACGTAAATCATATACCAAGATAAAGTGAAAATGGATACATGATTTATGCATAAAGGGTGGTAATCATAAGCAGATTAAGAGAGCATGAAATAGTTTATCTGTCAGATTTATGGGTAAGGGACAAATTTAGAACCAAAGGACATATAAAAAGCTTTATAAAATGTAAAATAGATAATTTTTATCATATAAAATTAAAACGTTTTTGCACAAATGAAACCAATGCAACAAAAATTATAAGGAAAGCAGAAAACTGGGAAAAAAATTTTTTTTGCAACAAGTATCTCTTGATAAAGACCTCATTTCTCAAATATATAGAGAACTGAGTCAAATTTATACAAATACAAGCCATTCCCCAATTAATAAATGGTCAAAGGATATGAACAGGCAGTTTTCAGATGAAGAAATCAAAGCTGTCTGTAGGCATGTGAAAAAGTGCTCTATATCACTTTTGATTAGAGAAATGCAAATTAAAACAACTCTGAGGTACCACTTCACACCTATCAGAGTGGCTAATATGACAAAAAAGCAAAATGTTGGATGTTGGAGGGGATGTGGGAAAACTGGAACAATAATGCATTGTTGGTGGAGTTGTGAACTGATACAACCATTCTGGAAAGCAATTTGGAACTATGCCCAAAGGGCTATAAAACCTTGCTATCAGTATTAATCTGTCAGTACCACTGCTAGGTCTTTATCCCAAAGACATCCCAAAAAAGGGAAGAGGACCTATTTGTACAAAAATATTAATAATAGCTCTTTTTTCTGGTGGCTAAGAATTGGAAATCAAAGAGATGCCTATCAATTGGGGAATGGCTAAACAAGCTGTGGTATGTGATTATAATGGAATATTATTGTAATAGAAGAAATGATAAGCAGGATGATTTTAGAAAAACCTGGAAAGACTTATATAAACTGATACATTATGAAGTGAACAGAATCAGGAGAATGCAGTACATGGTAATGGCAGTATTATAAGATGAAGAACTGTGAATGACTTAGCTGTTCTCAGCAATAACAGTGATCCAAGACAATCCCAATGGACTGATGATGAAGCATACTATCTACCTCCAGACAAAAAACTGGTATTGATCAAATACAAACTGAAGTGTTATTTTTTACTTTCTTTCATTTTTTTTCCCTTTTATTTGAGTCTTCTTGTAAAAAATGACTAATATGGAAATGTTTTACCTAATTGCATCTGTATAACTTGTATTTGCTTACTGTTTCAGGGGTGGGAGGTGGAATAGAATTTGCAACTCAAAACTTTTAACTAAAAATGTTAAAAAATTTGGAAAAAACAAACAAAACCAAGTTGGGTAGAAGAATATAATTAACTCCTTTATATGTGCAGTTTACACCATATGCCATGTTAGTAAAGGTCTATGAGTAGTAAGGTCTATGAGAAGGAAAGTAGAATCACTTCCTCTCAGTGATTCTTCAAGTAGAACTTGGATTGTTAGGGTCTCCACGATACATGCTTCTTATGTGCCCGAGATGAGGATTTACTTTGCATGGAAAACAATATAGATATTTAGAGTTGGGTATTCTTCCCCATTGCAAGGCATGTAAGAACACACTATTTGCGTTGTCTGGTTTATTTGGGATATTGTTAAAATGTATTATTTAAACAGACATCTCATGAACTGATCTGGCTTGGTAATATAGTCATCCCTTACACTTCTGCTGAGACTTTCTTCATTGGAACTGAAATACAAAGTCAGAAAAGAGAGGCCAGTGCTACTTACGAAAACAGTAAAAGTAAAATTTCTTAAAGGATATAATAGCACAATAATCACTTATTGGTAACTTCAATACAGAATATGAATTAATCAACATTTATTAAATTCATATTGTGTACAAGGCCTTGTGCAATGTTTTGAGAATTCAGAGAAATGCTGAACAGTCCCTGCCCTCCTTACATGTACAAAGAGATAATAAATAAGCATGTAAATATACATAAAACATTGTAACTACCATTTATTTGGCCCTTTAAGGTTTGCAAAATGCTCTGCCTCCAAGCACCCTGTGAAGTTGGTGCTATACAATGAAGTTAAACATTTTGGTAGACACAAGTAGGTATGGGATATCAGGAAGGGCCGCATGAAGAAGGAAATACTTGAGCTGCGATTTCAAGGACACTAGAGATGCT